AATGTGTAAGCTTGGCCGAGGCTCCTGCATTCCGTATACCAACGATGGGACAAGTAGACAACTTGGGTGGGTCCCTTTAAAAGCCTGAAGCCTCCACTTAAGAGAAAATAACAACCCCAAACACCCTAACTCTTAACCCTGAAAAATCGTCCAAAACGAAGTAGTTCCGCGGGCAGTTTTTAGACCCTTAAAATTACGAGTGCCGCGCCTGCCAGTGTTTTTGAGGCCGCTCACACGCGATAACCCACGGCAAAATAAAGCGCCATGACCTACTAGCAGTAGTAGTAGTAGTAGTAGTAGCAGTAGTAGTAGTAGTAGTAGTAGCAGTAGCAGCAGCAGTAGTGTGGTCGTGGTAACAGTACGCAAGAGTAGGAGTGCTAGTGGCCCTTGAAAACCAATGGAAAGCATGCAAATTATGAAGAACTGGAATAATTAGCAAATGATGAAAAATTGTGAAAAATCAGGATATAATGGAAAGCATGAAAATCATGAAACATGAAGAAAATCATGAAAACTATGAAAACTTACAAAACATGACAGCGAATGAGAAATGATGAACAATTGGTGATGAATAAGAAACATGATGGGAATTATGAGAAAACATGCAAATATATAATGATAAATGATGATAAATGGTGAAAAATGATGAAATACGATGAAGATGATGAAACATTATGAAAATGAGGAATCATCACGAGAAATTGCAAATAATGAAATATGACACGCATGAAAATGAAAAGCAATACTGAGAGATGATGAAAATATAAATGAAGAAACACAATGAACATGATAATATCGATCATGAGAATAATGATGAATGATGATAGATGGTGACACATGATGAAACGTGATGAGACATGAGGAGACATGATGAAAAGCAATGAAAAAGCTTGAATAATCATGAAGATGCATGAAATGTCATGAGAAGTCGCGAAGAACAATGAAAACTGATGGAACGTTGTGGAAGAAGATGAGAATTGCAAAAATGTGGAAAATAATGAAAATGACGAATACGTAGATAAAGAGGAGCCCCATGAAAAATCGTGGTGAAGAAGGGGAATATGACAGCAAATGCTTGCGTGAATGTGCTTTGCAAAAAAAAAAGGGGGGTGGGGGCCTCAAAATTGCGAAACCTGGACAGAGATTGGAACAATTGCCTCCTTCCGCCGCTTGAATTTGGCAAGATGATGTGATTAAAGACGAGAAGAGGATGCACCTGATCAGACAGGATTAGGAACGATGCAAATGAATGACGATTAATGAAAAATATGAAAATTTATGAAACTTGTTGAAAATGATGAAAAATATGAGAAGTTACGAAAAATGACAGAAGATGTTTAAAAAGACGATGGGAATCTTGAAAAGTTATGACAAAATGTGACAATAGTGAGATTTCATCACAATGATAAAATGAAAAATGATAACATGATCATGAAAATCATGAAAAAAGATGATAAATCATGCGGAACCACGACACATCAGGAAAAAATAGCAAAAAATCATTGACACGAAGGAACAACCCTGAAAAATGATGAAACAGTTGGACAATTGAACGGAAATCATGTAACGTCATGAAAATGAGGATGAGTATCATGAAAAATGAGAATCCTGAAAATGGATGAAAACTGATGAAACCTGATGAGCAGTCTTTCCTTCCTTGCATGATTCCTTCCTTCCTTCCTTCCTGCTGTCCGTTTGCCAGGGTGTAGGGGCGCGGCCTTAGCATAAAAAAAACGGGTTGGTGTACTCCCCAGGAAATAAGCTATATGCTTTTTTGATGCTTCAAAAATTGTTTTCCAACCCCTGTCCAATCTGTGCCTGATTGCTTGGTCTTTCGAATGAAAGAAGAGATCATCACAGCACGCGCGTTCAATGCGTCCTCCTGCAGGTGTCACAGTCTTTTTGCTCCATCATGGCCCATGCCAGGCTTGAAGCGCTAGAGAATCTTGGAGCCATGCAGGTACGCTAAAAGTTTTTGTCAGGTGAAAAAAGCTGCGAGAACGCACTTTAGCGGCGGTGTCCTGGCATGTATGGAGCACTGCACGGCCCAAGGGGTGGGCCCCATGCGCCCGCACAGACCCATTGTTCAGGGCAATGGCAGGCTGCAGCACAAGATCAGCAACATGTCCTATGCGACCCTTGGCAAGCAGGAAAGCGTGCAAGCAACAACCTTTCTGCATGGCCGCAGTGGACTGAGATCTACGAGTGACACTGAGAGAGTCACAGCGCTGCATCGTTAACTCGGGGATGAGCTAGCTGCAGGCAGCATCCAGAAAAAGGAAACTGGGCCCTGCTGGCGGCGCAAGAGTAAGGACGTCTCCACGTTGCAGCCTGAGAGGTTGCGGCAAGAAGTCTCCCTTTGGCAGCGGTGTATCGTTTACGGCTGTGCCTGTCTCACTGACATCTTCTACCGTCACTGTGCCACAGGAGCAAACCAGCACACAATGCCGCGCGTCTGCGGCAACACTCTGCACTGGAATTTCACACCCGCTACTACGACCAAGCGCCACTACACCATCATTGGGCAACAAATGCAGCATGCCAGTAGCACAATCCACAAGGCGTGGCTCACGTGCTGACAAATCTAGCTCAGCTGCAGCAATGGAGAGACGGACGAGTTTTGAAGCTGGGGTCAAATCCTTCAGCACCGAAGACTTGGCAGTCCTGGACCCAAATGCCTGCGGAGTGCCTGGCGCCTCGAGAGCGTGCACATCTTCTGACTCGGAGGTGGATGACTGCGCTACCTGTGCCTTGAGCACTTTCACCCCTCCACTAACAGGTTCTCGCAGCGGAAGCGGCGGCAAGATTTGCCACTGCTTGGCTTGCTGGCAAACGCCTCGATTGCTGCTGAGCTCAGAGTCGTGCGGAGCGGCACAAAGTTCCCACATAGCTGTCTTTCGACGACACCGCTTCCAAACCACAGTTGTCGGGACAGCCTCCTGGATCTTGGGCGAGGTTGATGTCCGTGACCCTAGCGGCCTTTAGGGCTGTGTTGATTGTTTAGTTTGATGAAGGTAGCATCAAGGCACGCATCTTTAAGAATCTTTAAGACGTCTCGGCTGCGCAGGACAGATAGTCAACAAAGAGGGAGCTAATGGCTGTCAACATTCTGCCGATATGTTTCTAGCACCACCGACCTCTTTGAGCCTGCCAGCAGTTCCAGGGCACTGGTGCTGGCAGCTGCGCCAGCAAAACTCCCTGGGTCCGGCGTTTTCGTTCGCAGCCGTCTTGGCACTGTTCCCAAAGGCGGGCAGGAAGCCCTTGATGCCGTGGATTCCAAATGCTGTCGTAGCTGACTTATGATTGCTCTCCGCCTCGTAAGAATACCACACACAGCGTGATATGCAACCAAGATTTATTATCATGCAACCTCCAGCTTACGAAAGCAAGGAAAGAAATTTGTCAGGGAAAACCTGTACCGAACGCCAGGGCTCTTCTGATGCGGCTTGATATTGAAGTCTCGACACCAGTCTTCCAGGACCGAGGTCGATGCACCCCTCAGGTCAAAGGCGTCATCTGCCATGCTCTCGCAGCCAGCCGGGCAAGATCAAGCAAGGCTTCTGAAAATTAATTACGGGACTCAGCCACCACACCTAAGCGTCTGAACCTACCTTCGCTGCAGAAACGCATGAGAAGTTTCAATCGCTCCAAGCAAAAGCGGCACACGCAAAGGCCCTGAAACAAGCTCAGCACCCCTTATTCTTGCCTTGCGTAAACTTCACGAGTCTGGTCAGCCAGGTCGGGCTAACACAATAACTTAATTTGCCTGCATTCCAAGTGCAAAGTTCATGAAGTCTGTACAATGATAGGTTAAAAGACTGTGTCCACGCAGTTTCAAATGGCCTTCAAGACGCGGAGCATGGGAAGAAGTACAGGAGAGTGCACGTTGCTGACATCATGATGACCTGCAGCATTCCTCCAAAACGCATGAAGTCAGAGAATGTATAATTTCCAGCATCTACCACCAGGATGTTCGAGGGGGAGCCGAGAGGAGTTGCGAAAGAAGCATTCGCACCAAAGATCACAAGGAACAAAAGGGTCTTCTCATCTATCAACTCGCATCCGTCAGACTTCTGAAGCTGCCGTGCCACATGCACAGCCACAGGAATCATCATTATACACGTGGCCGTGTTGCTGATGATGTTGGTCAAGATCGCAGTGCCAATGTAGACCATGCACAGTACTCCAAAGGGGCCAGACTGCAAGCCCACGTCTAGCAGGGCGTTTGCTAGAGCCGCGGCCGCCCCCGTTTTCGACATAGCGGCTGAGATTCCGAAGGAGGCAGCAATTGTCATCATAACGCTGCCATTTACACCGAGAACAGCTTCTCTCCAACTGAGAACTTTCGCGCAGCAGCAAAAAAAGTCTAGCGCCAAGACAGCACTTGCCAGCGGGACAAAGTTGAGCCCATTCGATCCGATCACAAATACGAATCCAAAAAGGCACAGCATCCCTCGCAGCTTGTCTTGCTTCCGACCTCTCCTTGGGGGCTTCGAGGATTCAACAGCTGCAACGACTGAGAAATCTGGAAGCCTGTCCAGGCAGTCTGGGAAGGCCTCCAGCAGCAGAACATCCCCCGGCACTAGCTGACGCGGGCCACGAGCTTCAACATCACCCGTCTCGTTTGATGAATGCCGGATGGCAAGGATGACTGACCCAGCTTTGTGAAGAAGCCGCTCCTTTTGCTTAGCCAACGGCTCCTGCACCAAACCCGAGTTTGCAGCGACGACCGCCTGACAGTGGCGCAGCTGACATGATGGAAGCAAATATCTGCGCTAACCCGGGCAGGCTTCCGCAAATGTCGGGACAATCTTCTTCAACTTTGTCAGAATTTAAGGGGCTGCGCCCAAGAGCGGGCAACGCAGGCAAGGCCACAGCCCCCCGAGAAAAGCGCCCCCAATGATGCTGATGATGCTGGCCAAGCGGGCCAGCATCATTAGCATAATTGGGGGTTCATTTCTGCAATCTGAGGCCTTCCAGCACCCCTCCAACCTGCAAAAATTGATGCTCGGGCCCAAATGGGCCCTCGAAACCTAGTTTACACAAACGATCGTGCTCATGATGCATGTTTTGGCGGTTCCCGAGGACCCCAAAAATCCCTCAAAAATCCCTCCGCGCCATGGGGATTTGCTTCCGGAACGCTTGTGAATTTGAGCTTGGTTTTGGAGCGGGGTCCGATGCAGGGTCGGCGGCATAGACTTACGCTCCTTGGCAAAGCCAGGGCCATNNATGGCCTGCGGCAGCAACCCCAGGGTGTTGCCGATGGCTTTAGCTCGACTTCTCCTTTTCCTGGCTTCTAGGCTGCCCGTGCCTGCTGGGCCAGGCTCGATAGGGTTCCTGAGTGTTGGATGTTGGAACCATGGCTATCACGAGTCTGGCCGAGTTCTATGGTGGGTTTGCCGTGGGGACATTGATGGCTGGGGTGATGGTTTGCAGGACTTATGGTGGTTTTACGCAGGTTTTCTGCGGGCTTTATCTATACTGACTTTATGATGGTTTTATGGGGTTTGCGTGTGGGTTTTCGCGGCCCCCCTGCCCACCCAGCCATCATGTGAAAGCCAAGCCCATGCTGATGCTCCTGATTGAGAGAAATGTACGAAAACTTATGCTCTTTCTAATGTACCTGGGATGTTTTTCTAGGTTTGGACAGTCCTGTTTTGTCTAGGTTAACTGAAGACGGCCCAAAATGAGGTCCCAATCGTGCTGATGATGTTCATGCGCGCGCCTCGTACAGAAGCATCATCAGCACAGTTGGGAACCCATTTTTGGCTGAATTGGGACCAGGAAGGGTCAAAAGCCCAAGAAAAGCCATCAAAGTACGAAGGCGGCAGGGCCGGCCCCTGCCGCTAGGCCTACAATACCTCCGTATCAGCCGTGGCTAGACGTGCGACATTTATATCTTCGTAGGTATTTCGCACAGCTGTCACCACGATTCGACGATGCTTCTCACGCCAAGTTCCGTTGAATTTCAATTTCATGGGTAACTCGGTGAACACGCGCTGCAGATGTTGCACGTTAGCTTCTCACAGGCAGCCCGAGGTTGAAGTCACGACGGCTCAAGTCTTTGCAATAGCTCGGCGCGCTTGCGCACGATTTCCACGCAGGCGCTCAACTTTGGTGAGTTCTTTGATCGTTTTCTTGCATGGCGGGAATGGGAGCGGCTAAGGACAAGATGCGCCCTGTTGCCAAGGTACTATGCACGGCATCATTGTCGATGCCCTTGGCCCCAAAGCAATGCTTCCTAAGTACCCCTTGTGTTTGCCCGAGCCTCTTTGGAGCAAGGCTTCCACAAGGCAAATGCATGTGGAAATGCTCCCACCTCTGCAGGATGGCTGCATGCACTACATGCTGCATGCATTATGATTCATTGCGCGATGCCATCCTGAGACATGGCTGAGCATGTCATGACAGTGCCCTCAGATAAAGTTACGTACCATGGTGCAACAATCATCTGCGCGCAAAACGCATGCATCTTCGCTTTAGCGTGGGCAAAATTTTGTTCTCATGAATTCCCCACGCCTGCGGACATTTAAGTCCATGAGTGAAGCTAAGTCCATTGAATTCAAACTGGCGCCCATGTTCATTCAGAAGCAGCAAGTGTAAGTAAGCCTTGCTGACGACATCTGATTACCTGCCTATTTTCGGGACATCAGACATATGGCGAAGCCAGCAACTTCAACTAGCGCCCACGCGACCTATAAAACGATACGTAGGCAGAGCAAGACTGATTCAAATAGTCCGCATGTCATTGTAGCGTGCAGTGCCTACAAACACCTCAAATCCTTGTTCCAATAGCTCGGCCCCCAAGGGAACACCCTGTTTCCGAAAGTTGGAGGCTTAGAGCAGTTGTTTTGTAAAGCGGTGACATGCGTGCCATTCATAAAAAGGCCCATGTGAAGCATGGACCCCCCAGTCAAGAAACCTCCAACCCAAGGAGCACGGCAAACACAGCGCCTGTAAAAGCTGTAAAAGCGTGCCGCGTTTCCAAGTTGCTCTTCCAAGTCCACCCGTGTCAGAGCTGAAATGCATGAGAACGGCAGGGCTGAGCGGCTAGTTTGTGGCCTCCTTGAGGCCCTGCATGCGCACCATGGGCTTCCCTCCATGCGAGAAAAAGTACCGAGCAACACGTCATTAGTATGGGCACGCAGTAGCACACGCATCAAGGAGCGCAGGCAACTTCACCAGCTAGAAGAGGGCAAGGCAATTGGCTTCAAACTGCCAAGGCCAAGTTTGATGTTTTGGTGTCTTCGTTCATGCAAAGCTAGCCAAACCACGTGGAATTCAGGTAAGTCAACACCCCTTGAACTTCTTTCCACTCCTTCGGCGTCCTCAGCCCGCATCTTCCGAGGCCACTTCAAAAAAGCAAGGGAGCCAGCACACAGCGGGAGAGGTGCCCGAGCGTAGGCAAGTAGGACCCCTTCACAGCATACGCCTTAGACTAGACAGTGCCTCATATTTGGCATCTAACACGTGAGCCGCTGAAGGTGGGAGAAGCAGCTACAGCAGCTGCAGTGCTGTAGGCATGCGTTGTGTAGTTGGATTGCTCATCAAGCCGTTTCATGTTGTTTTCGGGTCAAGGCTACATGTCAAGTTTATTTCTTACTTCTGACACCTGCCACAATCCAAGACAAACAAAACCTGACGTCGGGCGGACTAACTTATACAACAGAACATGTGAAACTACAAGTCTGAAGCTGGCGTGCAAGGGCCTAAACTCTCCACCCGGGCCCAAGCTTGAAAGTTGTGGGTCCTGCCTCGAACAGCCGCCGGTGCCTCCTGTGAGGCCCCAGTGTGGCTAGGTCCTTGTGTACGGCAGGCTCCAAGCCATCGTAAGCCTTTCGGAGCCGCGCCACGCTTGCAGCACCAGCAGCCACCTTCACCAAGTCTCCACTCATGAGTGGCGTGTTGAAAGTGTCCGTAAGCGGCTCGCCCTCGCGACGCATTTCCAACACCAACACATCAGGCAATCGCGTCAGCCCCATATCATACAAGCTACAACCAATGAACGGGCAGCGACTCCTGACGACAAACAAAATGTGGTACCTACGCAGCTGACACGTCTCGACCTCTGTGTCCTCTTCACTTGTAAATCGCATAAAGGGACTGGGCTTCTGGGTTGATTTCGAAGGTGAGCGCGGCTCCTGCCTGACCTCTTCACCTTTTGGCAGCAGAGTCGGTCCAGCAAGAAGCATATACCCCAAACCTAGAAGCCCCAATGGAGCAGCGTAAGGAGTCAGCTCAAAGAAGCCGATGTTAACTGGCGGATCCAGGGCCCTGGCACGATCATGTGCGAGCAGGTTTGCAGCTGAGCCGATGATGGTCAGTGTCCCACCCAGCGTTGATGCAAACGCCAGTGGCATCAGCAACTGGGCCGCTGAATGCCCATGCCGCTGTGCCCACGCTTGCACTATTGGCACTAACATCGCCACAAGAGGGCCATTGTTGAAGAAGGCACTGAGTACAGCTACGGGCAAAGTGATTCGAAATTGTGCTGCCAGGAGCGTTTTCGGCGTGCCGAGGCAGCGAGAGATCAATGCATCTAGCACTTTCACTTCAGCAAAGGCTTCGGAGAGGACGAACAAGGCACCAAATGCCAGAACGCCCGGGCTCGAAAAACCTGCAAAAGCCTCAGACTCGGTGATAATCCCCAAAAGCACGTAGATCACGGTCAAAGCCATAAGCACTGCTTCAGGTGGCAGGCCATCGGCAATAAGCAATATGCCCATGCAAATGCTGTTCACGACAACATACGGTTTCCACCTGTCGGCGGCAGGGATGCCAAACTCAGGCGCGGAGACGTGTTCTATCGCAATGCTCAGCCCGACCAAGCTCAGCAAGACCTAACTATGAATCATTTGTAAACACACCACGCTGTTCTGGTTTAGGCTGCAAAGCGCATATTCGTCTAGGTGATTTGGGTGCCTTATCACTGCTCAAAGAAACAGGGTAAGGCCAGTTGATCCAAATTGCAAGGGCCCTCTTCGGCGTGAGTTCTCGCCTGAGCTGATCTTCAATCCGCAGTTGCCTGGCCAATGGGGAAGTAACGACACCAGGGGCCGCATCGCTTGCGGCGCGCGACCAAGCTCCAATGAGTTGTAGGCTCGGGCTGGCATCCATGGAATGGCAAGGGATGCTTGGACAAGGCCGCAAGAGCTCCCTGAGCTGAGTTGAAGCCGCTGTGGCAGGCGTGAATGAATTCCAGGCATTGCCTTGTGAACTGCTTGCATTTGGATCAAGTCTAAGTGTCATGCAACGTCACTTTTCCTTATGTAGCTCATGATGCACAGGTGGCTTGACAAAGCAGAGGCAAGTCCTTCTTGCAGGTCCTGTTAGGACTGAAAGATCATGCAAGTCTCAAAAAACAACGCCGGTAAGCGTTCTACACCGAACTAATTCACCTTGCAGAAGCAAGCTGCTTGAACCCCAGTCCAAAAGTCTTCCTGACAGCTGCACCTATACCAGCTGCATCCAGCTGCGCTAAAATGATGAAGAGTATCAAGCCCGTGATCACTTAATCAAATGACTGGGGTAAAAGACCCGACCTGTATGAATGACTGTATCACTTTGTCTGGAAATTGCACAGAATTCCAGGAATCAGCTCATGTCACATCAGACCTTGAGCTCTCTGCAGCCGGGAGTGAGAGATCAAGGGTCAAGTCAGGTTTCCCGTGGCCAAGTGCTGCTTTGTAAAATTTCCCAGCTGACTTGACCCAACATGCCTGCTGCCATTTCAGCAGGAGGCCTCTACTCTACAGCTGCACGGTGTAAACAAGATTGAACAAGGAGGTGTAATGGGGTGTAGCTCACGCCTGCTTTCCGCGATAAGAGAACCGCAACGCCAAGTAGCCCGAGACCAAGGCCAACATGCCAAAGACACCGCAAGAAATGTAGGCAGCGGTCACATATCCAAGATACTCACCACCCATGGAAAGAATGATGTTCTTGTAGCCCTCCACAATGTCGAGTGCAAAGTCTATCACAGCCTCTTCGCCACCCTGCATGTTGATCACGGCCAGGTAGTTTTCTCCAATTGCCCAGGTGAAAGGCGAGAGAAATGCTAGGACTTCCTTGAAGGAGCCTGCTGCTTCAGAAATGGCCTGCGGTTCGCTGATTGCGCCTCCCATGATGAGAATGACGGAAGCAAGTGCCAAAGTGGAGCTGTGTTCTGGCACTATTGCTGAAACCAGCACACCGATGCCAGCAGAGCTGACTGCCGACATTCGGAAAGCAATCAGCCACAACCAGTAAGGACAGGGAGCAGATGCACAGGCCATCCACACTGCTGTGTAAATGTAGGTCCACAGCAGCACATCGAACAAGGAAACGCTAACCCGAGCAAGGAAGAAAGCAATCACCCTGACACCGCTAGCGCTTTCGCGCCAGAAGATTGGCCGATCGGCACCAAAGATTTGCAAGCAAGCAACGCCCACCATGAGCCCGACTGCCAAGTGCGAAAGGTTGATCTTTAGCGGACAGAGAATATTGCCAGGAACAAGCTTGTCTGTGCATTGCGCTCCGAACATGATAGCAGCGGCTGTCACAAGCAAGGTGCTCAAAATCTTCTGCTGCCACAACCGGGCCCAGCGAATGGCATTTTGGTGCACGAGGACGCGATACTGCGGCCACCAGTGTGCCCTCTTTGCAACCATCTTCTTGTCAACTGTTTCGCGAGAACTGACCGAACTCGCAGAGGCTTCTGATGCCTCCATATCTTTCTCCCAGTTCGGGATGTCACTCATTGCATCGCGGGAAAACGAGCTGCGCAAACACAAGAGGAAGTGGGCAAGCCCGCGACGGGTGATCGCTCCATCTTCAAAGCCAATCCGCTTCTTCATTTCTGCACAAGCAAGCTCTGAAGGCGCAATTCCTGCGGATTGGAGAATTTGCGAGAAATGTTCTCCGGTAATGGCACCCACATCCCCGAGGCCAAGCGACTCTAGTTTTGCATCCAGGGCATTGAAAAACCTGAACTTGTCATCCGCAGTTGTCGCATGACGATGGCCAGCAGATCGATCTGCTGTTGGCTTTGCCTGCTCCTTCCAGTAGCTGGCAAGCTCCGTTTGCTTGAGCGAAGGTGTGTCTTCGTTCCGGACTTTGCCGGAAATCACGTCCATGAACCAGTCGGCCGGGTTCTCGTGCACAGGCATCCTGAAGCCGAGGCTCTTGAAGTAGGGCAGAGCTCCAGTGCTTGGGCCGAGGTACACTGTCTGGCCACCCAACCCGAGCAGCAGCACCTCGTGAAAGAGCGTGAAAAGTGAATATCGCGGCTGGTGCACAACCATTACTACAGTCATGCCGATCTCGGTCAACTTCTGAAGGGAACGCACAATGTCGAGAGCTGTTGTCGCATCAAGTCCGGATGTCGGCTCGTCCAGCATCAAAATGGTTGGCCGGCATGCCAGCTCGAGTCCTGATCTGCTCAACGTTGTGAACAGGCAAGGCGCTGCTTCATACCATGAACCTTACCTTAATCAAACGCATCATGTCCAAAACCTCTGCCAAGGCTCCAATATTGACGCGTTTTCTCTGGCCACCACTGATGCCACGAGTCTCCACATTTCCCACGATGCTATGTTGCACATCTAGCAGCTGCATCACATTAAGCACGTCCTCGACGATGTTTTCCAAGACTTCCGACGCTGTGCCTTCGGGATTTCGTAGCTTCGCAGAATAAAAGATCTGCTCGCCTGGCGCAACTTCCCTCTACAGAACCCCTGAATCAAGCATGACTCTAGCAAGTGAGTACGCATCTGCGGCTGGGGTGGCCGGAAGTAAGTGAGAGAAAAAAGCGCATAGTTCGAAGCGCATTTATCCAAGCGACGAACAGTAAGATGAGGATGGACGATGTCATCCTGCGGAACAAAGCCTCTGATAGGCTTGATCTCCGCAATGCTGGCTGTCCGACCATTCAAGCGGATCTCCCCGCTCACTGTCCTGCTCTAAGCCCATCAAAAAATTGCAAATGCATGTGCCTAGGATTACGAAGGGTAGACGTTTCGGGCATAACTACGGCCACAGATTTACGAGCAACTATGCTTGCGCATTCGTTTCATGTACTCTTTCAAATACAGGGTTGGTGCAATCCATGCAATGATATGCTGCAATGCGTACACAACTGTCCCGTAGTATGCACGACCACACAGGGCATTCATGAAGGTTGTCTTGCCCGCGCCAGAAGGGCCCATTATTGCAGCCACTCTTTTGGGTTGGAACTCGCCCGTCACACCCTCAAGGATGCATCGCCCGTTGGATCTTAATTTCACACCTACATTGTCGAAGCCGATGTGGATAGACGACATCTTGAGGTGCATACCTCGAAATCGATATTCGGGCACGCTGACATCGGGGACCATGTCGCGAACCAACTCCACCGAACAGCGCTCACACTCAGCCAATACCTCAGACCGTTCTGTCTGTGGCTTCCGCCTGCGCCGGTTGAGGATGTAGGTTATGGCAAGGGTGGCATAGCCAGCGGCTACAAGCAGGAGCACGCACAGCTCCCATATCTGTGCCACCTCCATGGCAGCGTGCCAGCCTCTCTATAGACTGACAATCTGAAACCTGAACAAGCCGAGGCAAAGTCAAAAAAGCTTGCACAACTCGCACATGCCACAGTGGAGTGCGGGGCAAACATAGCTTCAAGACTCTTTTCTACGAACGGATTCCCTTCCAAGCCAAAGACCTTGCTCCTGCATTGGATCTTTTGACCCTACGCATTCCCCCACTGTCCATTTCGGACGAGGACATCGGACATCATGCAGCTACACAAGTCGAACAGTTCGAAAGACCACTAAATTCGTGGCTTCAGCCTCTGCCAGGATAAACGGTGTCCGCACAGCGCCTGGCCGAGGTTTCTGGCAGCGCAACTAAACTATGGCGAGATGAGCGAACCGCAGGTCGTAGAGAAACAATCCAGACCACTTTTGCTTTCGAACTACTCAATGAAAGTCATTGGTCACAGCTGGTGCCAGCAAACCTCATAAATTATGCAGAAATTAAAAGGAGATGCAGGACAAGGCGTTGCATGTCTCGGAAATGCGAATTCATGATCAACGAAAATGCTGCACATTGCGACCGCTCAGGCTTGCTTACCGCGGTGCGAAAACCGTAGCCCGAGATATCCAAAAGTCAATCCGAGAAAGCCGAAGACGCTACATGAGATGTACGCTGCGGTCAGGTAGCCCAAGTTGTGACCACCTAAACTGATAGACAGCAGCACATTGCGGTACCCATCCATCATGTCAAGCGCAAAAATGTTCACGTTTTCCTCACCACCCATTTCGGCGATTACGGCCAAGTAGTTCTCCCCGGACGTCCAAGTGAATGGAGAAAGGAAAGCTAGAACTTCGTTGAAACTCCCCTTCGCTTCGGCGACAACCTGTGGTTCGCTAATGGCACCACCCATGATGAGCAAAACAACGGCTGTTGCCAAGGTTGAACTGGACTTCGGGATCAAGGTCGAAATCAACACGCCAATTCCTGCAGCACTAACCGCAGTCATGCGGAACGCCACCAGCCAAAGCCAGTAGCCACATGGAGCTTGGGAGCTTACCTTCCACACCGCCGTGAAGACGTAGCACCAAACAAGCACATCGAAAAGAAACACTGTCACTCTGGATAAGAAGAATGCACCCACCCTGATTCCACTAGCGCTCTCGCGCCAGAACACCATGCGATCCGAGCCAAAAATGGGAAGGCATGCGATGCCCATGAGAAGTCCGATGGCAACATGCGAGATGTTGATCTTGATTGGACATAGAACGTGTTCAGGCGCAAGCTTGTCCTTGCACTGGGTACCAAACACGGCTGCAGCCAAGGCCATCAGAGCTAGGCTGAATGCCTTGTGCTTCCACAGCCTCATCCACCTTATGACATTTTGGTGGAGCAAAACAGGATACTGTGCACAAAGTCGGGCACGCCGTCCAGCTAGCTTTTCCGTCAATTTTGCGCTACCGGCGGTGCTGGCAGAAGCTTCGGAAGCTCCCATGTCATTGTAGCGGCCGGCCATGTCAGAGAGCAAGTCGTTGGAGAAAGAACTTTGCAATCCATTGAGAAAGCTGGACAGCTTCTCACGTGAGATGGAGCCGTTCTGAAATCCAGTCCGAGCTTTCAACTCATGCATGGCAGCTGGGGATGGCTCCTTGACCCCAGACACTTCAAGCAGCTTCAAGAAGTTCTCATCCGTAATCATGTTGTCCGACACACCAGCAGCTGCCAGTTTGGAATCCAATGCTTTTGAGAAGGTGAACAAGTCCGCTGTCCGAACCTGGCTTGGGTCGGATGATTCCGTGACAATCTCGGTGAAGCGCTGCGCCCAAACCTCTGCTAGCCCACTAGATTTCAAGTTTGGATTGTCTTCGTTCTTCACCTTGCCTGAAATCACATCCATGAACCAGTCGGCCGGGTTCTCATGCTCGGGCATCTTGAAACTCAAGCTGGTGAAGTACGGTAGCACGCCCTGGCTGCCTCCAAGATAGACGGTCTGCCCTCCGAGTCCAAGAAGCAACACTTCTTCAAACAGGGTGAAGAGGGAATACCGCGGCTGATGCACGACCATGATGACAGTCATCCCAATCTCGGAGAGCGTCTTCAATGAGCGCATGATGTCCAGGGCAGTGGTAGCATCAAGCCCAGAGGTTGGCTCGTCCAACATCAAGATCGTTGGCCGCGCTGCTAGTTCTAAGCCTAAGTTCGGTAATGGAATAACGTGGCAAACGTCCATGACAATACATCAAACAACTTCTGTTTAACAAGCATGCGCAGACCTCATATAGCCGGCATTCGCTTCACCACGCTGCGAACAGCATACAGCAGGTTCTCCACTCTTTTGAGCCAAGCTGCCAATGTTAACTCTTTTGCGTTGGCCACCGCTGATGCCTCGTGTCTCCTCCACATTGCCCACTATACTGTGCTGCACATCTGTCAGGTGCATGACGTTCAGCACGTCTTCCACGATAGAATTAATCACTGAAGCTGATGTCTTCGCCCGGTTCCTGAGTCTGGCCGAGTAGTAGAGCTGCTCGCCTTAGTTGCAGGTATCTGTGTTCGAGGTGCCTCATTGCAGTGGGATCAGAAACTGACTGACAGAGGGCCGATCGAATGCTTGCGTACCTATTCCAACACAACAGCCGCACTCCTCCGGATTAGACTGCTGCAACAAAGTCATTGATAATGAGCACCATCAAACACGCAATGCCTATGGCGCCTGCCAAGTCATGACAAAGTGACGGACCGTCAGATGCTCGTGCACGATGTCATCTTGTGGAACGAAGCCCCTCAACTCTTTGATCTCTGCTATGCTGCTGACGTGCCCATTGATGCGGATCTCGCCACTCACAGTCCTTCAGGGCAACACGGGTATCACTGAAACATTCATCAACCCTGGTGGCCTAGCGCGTGGAGTTTGAGAAGACCGTCAAATTTCAAAAGCCTGTCCCGTAATATGCTCTGCCACATATGGCGTTCATGAAGGTGGTCTTACCTGCGCCCGAAGGACCCATGATAGCCGCCATCTTTCGAGGACGAAAAGCGCCAGTGACGCCTTCCAGGATGCAGCGGCCATCTTTTTTCAACTTCACGCCAACATTGTCGAAGCCAACATGAATTGCTGACATCTTGAGATGCATCCCGCGAAATCGATATTCCGGAAGCACAGCATCCGGCACGAGGCTCCGTGCTAGCTCCACAGAACAAGTCTCACATTCCCGCATTGCATCGCACACTTTTGATTGAGCGAGCCGATGACGCCTGTTCAAGAAAGCCACCAGCGGGAAGATGGTGTACACAATCAAAACAACCACAAGAACGATTTTCTCCCACCAATATGAATCCTCCATGGCTGCCAAAATGGCTGCCAAATTGGCTGCCACAAGAGGAAAGCTTCACCTCAACCTAATGCATTAGGAACAAAAAATGGCTAGGAGGCCATGGATGATTGACTTCCAGCATGCAACATGATCTGTATTTGTACATTCTGACTGCACATGAAGTGCTCCAAGCACCAGCTTACTTAACAACACTTCGTCTTCCCCGGCACACACCGCGTTCCCGGTGGAATGTTTGTTCCTTAATTTCCCCTGTTGTTCCTCTTACTGTTTTCCCTTCGCGGGCATGTTCCACGCCAGGGCGCCAGAGTGACACAGCAATCATAAGCATACTTTCAGGCAGGAAATCGCAACGGTTTGAACGCAATCTCGAAGCTCCAAAGTGTTGGCGTTACTTGCACGCGGTCAATTCAGTGTTTGGTAGCAAAACACAAGAACACCTTCAACATGAAGAATTTGCCAATTTTTTCGAGAATTTGCTCGCCACAAATCCTGCAGAACCAATGCCCATGCCAGTGTTCACCGAACAATCAGTCTACAGTTCGTAGCTTGAAGCAGGGGAACGCATCAAACGATTTCGGTTCGGTTGCGGAAGTATTGCATCAACCCGCGCCTACATTTTCGAATGTGTTGTCGGAAGTTTCCAACCACATCCTGCGCACATGCGATATGCCACACAGTTGCAGAAAAATGTCCTTTCAAAATCCACCCAGAATAGCGCGAGCAAAAGTATGCAAAATTCTCTCAGAAATGTCCGGCCAATTGTTTCACTGCCCTTGCTGTACAAAACGTTTTCTTACGTGCTTCTGGCTCACATTGGAGCTACCTTGGATGCCCACCCTTCCAAGGAGCAGCATGGTTTTCGCAAGGCGTGACGTGTGGAAGGAACCTCGATGTTTGATGAATCCTTTACCTGCAGTTTGCGCATGTGGACCATCAGCTTGGACTAGACTGGGGTGTTCTTTGGGACGCTTTGTGTCATCACGGAGTCTCAGAATACACAATCTGTACCATGGCTAACCAGGTTTGATTTGATTCATGATGCTTCATGTCAAGACAAATTGGAAAGGCCGCGTGCTCTGTCCGCGACTTCTCTGCACGGTTCTGCAAGTTGCTCTTGCAAGTTAGCACGTGCGATTTGCGGATGATTTGCTGTTGTTTGCAACCCAAAGCGCAAACACCGCATGCCAGATTCGACGAGATATGCGCTGCTTTGAGAAAACTTGGCGTGGTTTGGAATGCGACCAATAGTAAATCCCGACATCAGAAACACAGGCGCCTCGCCAGCTGGTCACGCCGCAAAGTTTGGTGGTGGATTCTCTGTTGGGAGATCAAGTTTACAAATGTTTGGGTGTATGCTGTCGATGCAAACGTCCCATAAGCTTGCAAGACATTCTATGCAAATATATACTTTTTGTGTCACACAGTCGTTTCGTTGCAACACCGTTTGCGGAACTGTGATGTCGTGGTGTGCCCACTTGCCTGTTGCACTTATCTTCTACAAAAAACTCTGTTTAATGAATTTTTGGCCGTCGCTTAAAATTTGGAAGCCTGACCGGCCTAACCGAATCCGGACCATCCCTTGCAAAGCAATCAAAGCCCCCAGTACCGTCCAACCTTATTGAAATAGTTACGTTCAAGTTTTTCGGGGTCTTACTTTTAAGGGAAGTTGATGCCGAAAAGGGGCAGCATTAAATTAAAACCGTTGGAACTGATGGTTACTTACTTTTGTTTTTTCTCGGACTTTTGCACCTGCACAACTCTCCGTCCCGTCAGGCTTGAGACCCTAAGTCTACTGGTCTACCGCTAACCTACGGCTCCGCCCGCGTCGCCGCCTCAGCCTCTTTGGCGGGCTGGCAAGCGGCTGGCCATCACTGGGAAGGTGTGGCGAGCGTCCGCCAACATCAGCCACAGGCGGCTCGGCGCCATGGCACTCGTCCGCCATATCAAGGGGAAGCTCCAGCAATGACCAAGCCAATGCCCGCTGGGCTTCCACAGCCAACATTCCCGCCCAGCGGTGGCTTGCCGCCTGACGCGCCGTCGCCCGGAGTCGCACTGGGGCTGCGAGCCTTCGAGGCCGCCAAGCGGCGGAGGAAGTCCGCCAGCTCGGCGCCGAAACGGCCGCCAACCTCGATTGCGAGGACGACCAGCCGGCAACGTCGGGCCGCCAGGAGCTCAGGGTAGGTGGTTTCCTACAGCACGATGACGTGCCAACAGCCGCAGCACATCCGTGGCTTCTGTGCCGAAACGACCGCCGACCTCAACGCCGACAACTACCAAACGGCAGCGTCGGGCACGCGCCAGCTCGGGGTAGGTCAGCACCTCGATGCACCTCGATGTTCATCCCCCAGAGACGAACATTGTGGCAGACCTGGGCCCCAGCCTTCCGACAGACATGAGCCACTGCAGGCTCAAGCGGTAACGCGCGGGCGGCAAGGACACCGGAGGTCGGGCATGCAGGGAGTCCGAAAAACCCCGGTCAAGGTCTCAGAGAAGTGCACGCAGGAGAAGGGGCCGGAAGGGTTGGCCCGCAGGCACAGACAGAGTATTGTTCCAGCTCGAATCTGATTGTGGTGAGAGGAATGCGCGCAAGGAGACACGTCGGCATCAGACAGTGGCAGAGTCTTTGAGCCAGAGCGCAGCGCGGCGGCCACTGCACGCGTGTGTAGGGAGGAGTCCACAAGGCGTTGGCACTACCGACTGCGCAGCATGGCAAACGTGTCAGGAGCCCGCGGATACCACCACATAGCTGTGCTGGGTAGACCACCGCCGTCCTCAACACGAAATGAGACAGGCGGAAAGTAGTCCCAACATACATTTTTTTTTCAAGACCCCGTTTCGCTCCTGCCCAGTCTGTCCACTGCTCAGCCTGCTACATCCGGCCCTCGCCCGTCAGCGGACCTTGCTGTCCCTGATGGGTTCATCGCTCGCCGCCCCGGCTAGGAGGTCCCCCAACGGCATTTCGGTGCCGTCGGAGGAGTCGATGTGCATGGCAGGGAATTCCAGTAGCGTGCTGGCGTGCGCTCGCAAGCCGGCGAAGGAAGCGAGCGCCATCCACCGTTTTTTTTTTTGTGCAGCGCCTACAGGTTTATTGTTGTCTGGTCCGGCTTCGTGGCCCGGTCCCGGGCCCGGTGGCCCGGTCCCGGTCCTGGTTACTTGGCCAGCCCATCCCGGTGGCCCGGTGGCCCGGCGGCCCGCTCCCGGTGTGGCCCGGTGGTCGGTTACTTGGCCAGCCCATGCTCGGTGGCCCGGTCCTGTGGTGCTTGGTTTTGGTGGCCCGGTGGCCCAGTGGCCCGGCCGGTACTTCGCTCGGCTGTCCGTCCCTTTTTCGCCGGTGCCCGGTGGCCCGGTCCCGGTCCCGGCTCTCCGTTCCCGGTACTTGGCTCGGTCGGCCACCGGCCCGGTGGCCCGGTCCGGTCCCGTCCCGTCCCGGCTGTCCCTGTCCCGGTGCCCGGCCCCAGTTTCAATGTCTCCACCTTGCCGCAGCAGTGTTGGTCCGGCCCCAGCCCCCACCCAGACGGTTTGTTGTCTGCATCATGTCTTGGATAAAATTAACAAGCAGCTCTACATGGTCTGTTTTAAGGGGGCCGCAAAGATCGGCCCGTCCTGTCGTGATGCAAGACAAGTCTGTGACTACCTGTGGGACTCTGGAAGAAAAATTAATAATAACAAGGCCTAACGGGCAAACCCACTTCGGGTGACCCTGCTGCTGATTCGTATCTAAGATCAAAACCCAACCTCTTCTGAACCACGCCTGCACTGAATTCAAAAATGTCGTAAGTAGACCTACCATGACGAGCACGTCTTTACGAGTTGTTTTCTAAGGTCATGCTCGTGCTTGAGCTGTGATGGAGTGAGCACTCAGGGGAAGATCTTGCAAGAAATGCCGGAGCAATGACAACGTTCGAACGGAATGGAAAAAATATTAGAATTTAATCCAGGTTAATGTGTTTGGGTTCAGTCAATAATCAATAACATCACCAAAGTCTCAATTCCAAATCTAATCACCCAGTCAGTCCTGTCCACACACTTCCTTCACAGGAATGCTGCTGCTCGCTACTAAGGCCGGCACTGCGAGACTCCTTTGAGCTCACAAGTGTTACATGGGAACATGACCAAACACTTTGCCAAAGGACAGAGGACATAAACATCACAGGACAACGGGAGCCGATGTCTTGTGTTCATCTGTGTTCCATGGTGGAGCGCAAAACCCGTC